GGGTGTTTAACACTTGCGTCAAATGGATACGGAGTGCAAGTGACTTTGTAGTTGCGATGAGGTACGAAGCTGATGTGAAGTTCTCGTCGGACTGCACGGTGTCAGTCTCACAGGGAACGCTTTCTTCCGAGGTTCGTTTCTACATACCGCCGGCATGTGCTGCATATCTGGCGAAAAGGATTCATCGCCAAGATTATCAGGGATAGGCGAGTCCCAGTATAGTCCGGAGAGCGAAGATTGAATGCCACTCTCAACGGACGACTGGAGCTCCAGCTCCATGACGGTAATCCACAGACGCTTCCTCATTTGCTCATCGAAAGCTGTCATCGTACCATGTCCGAGCAGAGAGGGATCACGATGTAGACCAGATGCAAGGGAGAGTCGCAGTAGGTCACCCGATGCGACCCAGTCTTGCTTCAGGCGCACGCAATTGACACGCTTCGCGAGTAACGACAGGCACTGTAGCTGGAACAAAGCTAAAGTAACCCGCTTGCGCGGCTGATCAGCGATCCAGCTGTCGCATAAATTAATAAGCTCGTGAGCCGCTTGCCTGTCGGCAGTCGTGTCACCAACAAACACATCATCTTTCGGGTTAAGGCACTTCGTGGCTGCGACGAGCAAGACGAGCAAGACGGCGAAGCTCACCGGTCCCTTTCCGTCCTGATCTGATTCCCAGTAACTTCGATAATCCTCCCAGAACGACGGCCCGTGCAGGATTCTATAACTTGTTTCCCACGTTTGGAAGTAGAGAGCCGCCTGCGTATCAACTATGCTCTTTTCCGGAAGGATAGCGAGTATTTCAGAGTCGATGTCAGAGCATCTAGTGGCCTGCCTCTTCGCAGACTTCTTCCTCTGATCGCGAAAGGCTTTGAAGTCGGTTTTGACACGCATGATGGAGTGATCGACGGTCAAAGCCTCTCGCGTAAAAGCTTGTAGCTCGTGATACTTAGTGGTGGTCAGTTTCTATCACGTTGACGTCAGGCTTGGGACTGTACCGTGGAGATCATGCTCATGATACTCGTTGCGCCGTTGAACTGGGATCTGAAACCCTTTCCTCTGAACATGATTTCCTCTGTGATCTTGGGTTCATGGGGCACAAACTCCCCATATTGCGGGGGATTACCACCGCCATTTCGATTGATGAGTTTCTGTTCCAGAATGGCAATTCGTCTCTCTTGTGTTTTGAGTTTTCGTTGTAATGCATTCGATGCGTCCGAGGAGGGCTCGCTCTCGACTGGCAGCTCTGTAAGCGCAAGAGACGCAGCGCCCCTGTCACGGTGGGACTCTTGAAGTAGCCGGGGGTCATATGTACACTCGTGACCTCTGTCGTTTTTCTGACATCGGCCACATACTGGAAAGACGCGATCACACTTCATCTTGCGGTTGCGACAAGCGTAGCACGACAACACTTTGCGCTTCTTGCTCGTGCGTCGCTGCGACAAGCCATCGTGACCTTCTGGGGATTCCTCGCGAGACCTGTCGCTAATCCACTCGGCGCCGGGAGCGGACATGGCATATGACGGATGGCAACTAGGGACTGCGATGCGCGTTGACAATGGCGAAACAGCTGGAGGTCGGACAAGGCGGAGATCAGGTGGAGATGAGGCAATGGGTTGGAGCGCACAGACTCGGATATAAGACGGAGATGCAACAGACCCAGTTAACCATTGCGTCCCCAGGTACGCTCAGGCCGCCATACCTCCAGCTAGGTAGCATTCACCCATCCTGTCGATAGTGTAGCCTCACCAGTGCTGACGATTAATAAATGGAATCGCCGGCATTTCGACGCACTCATCGGGCCCTCTTTGTGCCAATGCGGGGAATGCTGGTCATGTCTCATTTCCAGTCTCGTGGTATCAACAGTATCGTCAATCTACCCCTCTCCGGTACTTGTTTTTCATATAATTGATGATCAGCTTGGCTTGCCTTCATATCTTCTTCGGCAGTTGAACTCTCCGCTGTGCAGTGAAAGCATGACCCATCGAAGACCTAAGATGCATTCTACTCGTAGTTTAACAGGGTGTTACGGGACCGGGTCTGAGGCGCCGAGGCGCATGCATCTGTGCAGGAGCTGCTCTTGACTTGGGATTGAAATACCCAGTTAATAGTGCTCAGCGCCCAGCTCATGGCAGTGAGCTTCAAGATGCTTGGTATGCTTAGCCGGGTAGACAGCCGAACAAAAGGGTTGTTGCATCACATCGCCTGTCCGAGTGACCTTCTGGCTGCGATGACGATGTCTAATGATTGCGTGGAGATTGCCCTGTAGACCTACGGGTGTGCGCGTCGCACTAAGCAGTCAATTCATCTCACACGCTGTCCGCGTCTGTGGTCGGTCATGTTCTAGCCTCCAGTGAGATGAATCTCGACATGGCATGTAGGGGACGCGCATTATCGGTATGCGAGAAAAGGCTTTGAACGCCAATTGCAGCAGTTGGGGCGTGATTTAGCATTTATTGACACATTGATTGAAAGATGGAACATAGAGTACATACGCCCAAGGGTAATTAGAAGGCTCCGCGAAAAGGGACATAAGAGACGCCTGCCGATGCACTTGCCATGATCTTGATTCAACCCTTTGTCAGTCTTCGCCCACGATACTACTGAAACCCCAAAGCCTGTACTGCTCACCATCTGGGCATGTATCACTACTTCGTCATTGCCGCGTGGCTTTACCACGTCGTTCACGCACAGCTTGTTGGTACTCAGCAAACCGAAACCCATCCAGGAATGACATGGCAGTCTTGCACCGCCAAGGGTAGCTGCACAACCAAGAACGGTAAAATTGTCATCGACGCCAATTGGCGATGGCTTCATGTCAAAGGAGGGTAATGGCATAGGCACAGTCTGTTGGGTTGACTCAGCTGCTAACACAAGACTAGCTATGACAACTGTTACACAGGTAACGAGTGGAACGCAACTGCCTGCCCAGACAATAAGGCATGTGCGGCCAACTGTGCCGTTGACGGCGCAGACTACAGTGGCACATACGGCATCACCGCGGGCAGTAACTCCCTGAAGTTGAAGTTCATTACGAAGGGTTCCTACTCCACAAACATCGGTTCTCGGACGTATCTCATGAAGGATGATACGACTTACGAGGTAAGTAACGTTCTCGTAGGTACAAACAGTGACTCAACTGATCCGTGGATTTGAACAGATGTTTAAGTTTACCGGCAACCAAGAGTTCACGTTCGATGTGGACGTGTCGAACCTGCCATGCGGATTCAATGGCGCTTTGTACTTTGTTTCAATGGATGCAGATGGCGGATTGAAGAAATTCTCGACGAACAAGGCTGGCGCCAAATACGGCACAGGGTACTGCGACGCCCAGTGCCCACGGGATTTGAAGTTCATCAACGGCGAGGTAAGTCACGCTCGGTTCCAGGAATTGGTTTTCAGCTACTCAGAATGCTGCAGGGAAATGTCGAAGGTTGGCAGCCATCCTCCAACGATGCGAATGCAGGGGTTGGGGGCCATGGTTCGTGCTGCGCAGAGATGGACATCTGGGAAGCGAACGCTGTCAGCACAGCCGTCACCCCACACTCGTGCTCCACAATCGAGCAGTCTCGTTGTGACGGCGACGGCTGCGGAGGTACCTATTCGGCCGATCGTTATGCCGGGGTTTGCGATCCTGACGGCTGTGACTTCAACAGCTACCGCATGGGTGTCAAAGACTTCTATGGCAAGGGCAAGACGGTAGACACTTCAAAGAAGTTCACCGTGGTCACACAATTTGTCGGTACCGGGGACGCTATGGAGATCAAGCGTTTCTATGTCCAGAACGGCAAGACTATTGCGCAGCCTGCATCTACTATCCCTGGCGTAGACGGGAACTCCATCACAACAAAGTTTTGCGACGAACAGAAAGCTGCGTTCCACGATACATACACGTTCAAAGACAAGGGTGGTATGGCGAACATGGCAAAGGCTCTCGCAAACGGCATGGTCCTCGTCATGAGCCTGTGGGATGACCATTACAGCAACATGCTTTGGCTTGACTCTACGTATCCCACAGACAAGAATCCAGACACGGATCTAGGTACCGGCAGGGGAGAATGCGAGACGACGAGCGGTGTGCCGGCAGACATTGAGAGCCAACATGCTGATGCCACTGTTGTCTACAGCAACATCAAGTTCGGGCCACTGAACTCGACCTTCGGTTGAGGGAGTGTAGTGGAGGGAGGGAGCTGCAGCGGAAAAGATGACCTCCAGTTCCCGAGGTCGGGAGAACGGGGGACATGAGAGCGTGGTCTAATACACATGGTTTGTCGCGTACTGAAGCGATAGTTGATCGCTTGGCAGAAGAATTCAAGGCGCGTCTGCATGCAGCTTGCAATGTGGAGCAAATTCTTCTGTGCACCCCGGCCCCCTTTGATATTTTGTTGAGGGATGACAAATCACGCGACAAGGCCCAAGCGTCATGAGCGCGCTTCTCGTCTCACTCAGCTGGGCATGGGCGACTTCGTCCAAATGTGAGCGCGCTTTGTCCGACCGTTGAACAATAACACCTACGTTGGTTGCGTCGCGCAGCCGTGCGTAGGTATTCTTCTTGCGTGTTGGCGTTGCCAAAAAACGAAACATGGACCACAGCGTGCGTGGCAACCTACAATCTTAACGACACCAAGCATGGCTCAGCAAACCTTCCCAACGTCGCCATACTCGGTATCCATGATTTACGTGGGATCAATGGCCCCGGAGGCGCAACTGAAATATCGCCAACGACACACAACGCCGAACCTTGCCTTAGACATGAACATCTCCAAGACACCGAGGCTGTGCCGCGAAAGACACTCGCTACGCTCAATGTTTGTCTCTAGGTGCGTATTCAGGCTGTATGCAACACTACGCTCGATGTAGTTGCTCAGATAGGGTCATAAGGGGATTGAATCGGAAAATGACACGGATTACGCGAAGAGCTGATCCACCGCTGCAACTGTTTCTCTGCCCTTCCTCGCCCCGAAACCCTTCTCATACCACCGGGTACTTTATCTTCTTCCAAATCAGCCAGGGGCGCTCATGTATCGATCAGAGTAGTTCTGAGGAGGGAAGAGAGCCTCTTTCAGATCCTCGACATCCACTCCTTTGTTGCCAAGGTTGCCTGCCGCGAGTGCAGCATCCACGATCAGGTCCCAGTCATCGTGATCTTCTGTGGATGATTACTAACAGTCTTGACGTATGAGCACAAGAGCCATGTTTGGACAACGTACCAAATATCACCACCAAGCAGTCCTGCTTGTTCCTATGGCTACAAACCGTCTTCCCACCAGGGATGACACGCATGTGTTGTCGGCAATAGTAGAAGTGGTTGGCACGAAAGCAGGGTATATGGAAAGAGTCTTGAGAGCATTTGACATCGTTGGTCCGCCCTTCTGGAAAAACGAATCCACTGATATGCATTAGCCACTATCACTCATTCATGAGCGCTCGCTCAGAGAGCATCTCACCAAGATCTCAAGGTGCCCTCACGTTTGTGGCGGCGGTGCTCGGACATGATATTCTCCATGACCATAGGAAGATAAGCTGCGTTGTCTTTACTACCAATGACTGGCTGCTGAGGGCGGACTGGGTTCAGTGGGGGAGCAGCGTTTTGTGCGCGTGGTGTAGCATTCGCATCCACCGACTGAACAGGGGATGGGCGACTAGAATAGCTGTTGTGTCTAGAAGAAGCCTCCCCTGATGATAAGAAGCGGGCACGATCATACCTGTCGTTACTCGTGGCGCCACCGGTATGTGCTCGTGGAGGTGTTGTGATGCGACCAGTACCGATAAGAGACTCCGAGAGAGGGAGAGGATTATCTAGGTTGGCAGTCGAACTCGAGTAACCACTGTGACTACTGCCAGGCGGTCCAGGAAAGCGATTCGTAGCAATTTGAAGCTGATGTAGGAGTTGTCGATGGCGGTTCTCAGCTTGTTGCAAACGCTGGCTTAGCCCGACAATGTGGCCATCGTGTTCTTCGCGGATGCTCTGGATTTCGTCGCCGAGTGCCTGGAGCTGTGCTTGTATTTGGCGAGGGTGCGGTAGCCGCGAGTCCATCTCGTAGGCAGGACGCGCGAGTTGAGCGAGGAAGTGGCTAAAGACGGCTGTAAAGGCTCTACGAGCTGAGTGGACGGTTCAAGGAGCGGGATAGATGAGAGCTTTACTTCAGAGGCCACATCCAGAGGTGGGAAATGTCTTGGCCAGGGAAAGTATACGTCATCTATGAGCGGTACTGCTGCTAAAACGAGACAGGCCCGGATTCAATTTCATTACGGTCAAGTATTGATACTATCAGATTAGGGTCGTACGTGATTGGAGTACTGGAAGATCTATACTCGAATGCGAAATTGTTTCCCATTTCCTAGCTACTTATGCTGGTGTAGTTGATCTTGTCTTCGTCGCTGCTTTGGGGGTACCCAGATGTGGTTCGCCGCGTTATCATATCGCTTTTCCTAACTGACAACACCGGCAGAGGCATTATCCAAATAGCATAGTGACAAAGCGTGCTTTTGGTAGCTACATGAATCTTGCATTGTCTATCTAGTACAGAATGTGGTGGTGTACATGACTACCTGGGTATGATATAAGACGCAATAAAGGCGGAGGAGCCATCAGGAAACTATTGGGCAACTATCGTATACCATACTCGGCTAGAAAGCTAGTATAGTCGCCCTCCCAGGGCTCACTGCCAGACTCTTGTGTTTCCTCGTTGTGCGCGTCTTCTCTTACGTTCATTGTCACAGTCTCTCTACCGCTCTTCACTGAGCCTGAGTCATGCTCAAAGTACTGTTGAGATGAAACCCGCCGCGGCCTATTCTGGAGGTAGCGTAGTGAGCGTTTGCAACGATTCCAAATGCTTGCTTGGTCTTCAAGACGGCCGCAAGTGACATACTGGCTAGCGTTAGAGAAACAAATGTTCTAGACTCTATCAAAACACTCAGGACATACCTCAATATTCCCGTCCCGAATTCTGCGAACAACAACAGCGCTTTCCTTCGCTGCTTCTTCGGCCCTGAAAGTCTCTAGTACCGACAGATGGCGCTTTTGCCATGGTGCCCGCCATTTGATATGACGCCAGTGCATGGTCTAGGAAGCAGTATAGACATCAAGTTGCGATCGAATCTGAGTTCTCTCTTCTTGAGGCGGAGGGAAGCTTTCGTATTCGGTGGATGAATACCAAACTTCACACTGGGACTATGTTAGTTGGGCTTCTACAGACTATACTGGATATAGCAGCACGGGTGTCGAGTCCTCTTCGCTAGTGCTAGTGACTACCTACCTAGGTAAACAACACGGACCACAATCTGAATATCATTAATAAATTGTAGTGACAATGAAATCCATCGATATTTTCTCGTGCAACTAGATCGATCATGTCGCCTCTCCCAGAACACACATTGAAGGTTCAATGAATGGCGCTACACCTTCACTGGAGCTTTGTGTTTGTCACCACAAACAGTCACAGGCTTGGCTGCTTCCTCTTAGCGAGTTGAGAGCGTGTTTCTAGTGTGTTCGCTTCCCCTTTCGCTTCTGCTCCAGCTCTTTACCATCAAATTGAAGTCGAAACACGCGTTGCAATCACTCTCGGCCATCAGCAACTAGGAAAGCATGTCGGTCCCCCCTCGCATAAATTCTACTTCCCCATCAGCGTCCTCACCGACAATTCCGCGACTGGTGGAGAACCGCAACTATACGCGTTTTGCAGACGTCGGCTTTGGCAACCGGCTGGCCGACGCGCGCAACCTCGTACACACGCGGAGGCCCTCCCTTTCTCTTCGTCCAGAACATACAACCGCTGTAGGTTCGGTTGCATCTGAAGTCGCCAACTCGATTCGGCCGGCTGCCTTGATCCCGCCCGGTGCGCCAAAGCATGGATGGGAGAAGGGATCATACCGGTCACCCTTCGACTATCACATCCCTGGCCATACCGTAGGTGGCAGAGACACGCCTCCTGGTAGATCAAATTCGCATGCCTCTTTTGCGGGGCTGTCTTCGTCTTCGCCTCTTCACAGCATAACGCCACTCTACACTTCGACGCCTCTTGCGACGCCTGCATACGAGATGAAGCCCAGACCTGAATCCGATTCACTGTGCCGTACAGTTACACCTGGTCCTGATGTAAGCTTCAATGTCCTTTTCTTGCTTGAGTTGCGCGACTGACTGCTTCCAAGGCAAGGGAACGTCTTGTTCTCATTGCCCCCCTCCGCATGATTCGCGGAGCAGGGGTCCACCTTTATGAGGATGACCGGGAAAAACTGTATCGTTTCATCGACGGTTACATGTCCGACTCGTTACACACTGTTGTCGAACGCGATGGCATCCTTCCCAATATCATTTACAAGGTCAGCATTCCCATGACAGACGCCGCTTGGGTCAGCTACAACCAAGTTCTCGCTACATTCGGGTTCGCCAATGGTGTGAATGACATGCTCATTGCGGGCTCCGACAATTTCGACAAGTACACATACATGATCGATGATGTGAGCGCAGAACACGAGCAAGGCTGGAAGGTACTAGCGAGTTCAAGTGAGAGGAACCTCGACATGGCAAGACTTTCGCAAGAGCTGGTGCAGATCTGGAAGAATACGTGGATCGAGAATGGATCTGGCTATGTCGGAGTGGTCAAGGATATTGTGCAATAACGTAAGCAAAGGTTGGGACAAAAGTAGCAGGATGGATCTACCGGGAAACGCTAGCTCGGAAGCTCCCTGGCGCCTGTGGAATATTGCTTGCTGCTCAACGATTTGATAAAAAGTCTTTACGGTATTCTTACACGGGTTTGCTCGAATGTGAAACTGAGGCGTCTGATTTGAAAACACACAATCTCCTATTTAGACGATGTGCCGTTATCTTACATGAGAGCGCAACGTGCTGGACATTCTGGAATGCATTGTACTGAGACAGTCCAAATGTATGGAATATGTCGAAGTCGTTGGCCCTTCGCAATTATCCGATCATCAAAGGTACTTGCGAATGGCTCAAATCAGGGACGTGAACGATGGTCGTCTGTTGACGTTCAATCTCTGATGTCTTGTAGAGTATCCAGGTACCTAGGTTCCCTGAAGATGCATGATCAGTAAACTTAACACAACGCTACATCATTGCTGAGGTTGCTGGGCCGTATCTGATATACGTGGAATCGCGCCCAGAAGGATGTGGTCGTGGCGCTGGCAAGCTTTCGCAAAAGGAAGCAGCGGGTCAAACTGCGGGCGAGAAGCATGAGCAAGCCCGAAGACGCTGTCGTGGGTGCGCTGCGTACGCTGCCTGCGCAGGTGCAACGTTGGTACGAGTGCAGCAAACATCTTGTCCAATGCAGAACTAGCAACGTGCCTTTTTCGACCGGTGCAAACTACCTCGGTACTGTTGCCAGGCATTCCAAGTTATACGTTGAGCATACACTCGTTAGCCCATATGTCCCATTGCTTCCAAGGTTCGGTCGCAGTATTGTGCCGACTGGATGCGGCATGCTTTCCCCTTCCAGTAGTATCTGCGCTTCGGAGGGCGGCCTGTTCCATTGCTACCGAGGCCAGTGTGTATCCATGTTGAAAGAGCCACGGACATCGGGTGATTGCCAATCCAGGCGATGCATACCAAGGCAGCGTCGTGTGCAGAGTTTACAGTATAGTACGTGCAGTACACGGGTAACGTTCGATCAAGCATAGCCTCCGGGACTAAAGCTTCCCCACAACTCGTCTATTACCCTTGTCCCGGTAGTCATACGCCACCAGAATTATTGAAACAGTCATGTCTGCTCGTGACACTATGTAGCGCAGTGCCCCTTTTCCGTCAATGAGCGACGAGCCTTTCGCGGTCGACCCAGTCGGCAGATTGTCAGGAACTTACGGGAGAATCTGCTGATGCGCCTATAAATTCCAGGCACTCTGCATAGACAATTGCTCTGGCTGGCATCTGAGACTTGATCTTACAATACCGCCATGCGACTTCTCAGACTCGTAGGCTTTGGCCTGTCCGGCTTGATCGTAAATGCGACGCTCCAGATTGTACCTGGCGCGACTTGGACAGCAGTGCGTTTCGTCGTACCCATGAGCAAATGGCAACTGACATTACACCAGACCAACACAGGCCAGCACATTCAGGCTCACGGCGCCGGCATCATCAAAGATGGCGAAAAGTGGTATTGGTAAATAGCTCTACGCGCAAGGGCGGCCTCTACCGGTGCTGATGCGCCCGCAGGATTGGCGAAGATAAAACAAACGGAACCGCTTTCACAAACATCAACTGCTATTCGTCTACGAACCTTGTCGAATGGTCTTATGAAGGCGCTCTAATCTCGCGGACTGCATCTGGCGACACAGGGCCCGATCGTGTTATTGAGAGACCAAAAGTTATGCACAACAAGCGAACGGGTAAGTATGTCCTGTGGGCTCACATTGACAGCGCCGACTATGGTGAGGCGAAGATTGGGGTCGCAATAGGCGACAGCGTTTGCGGAAAGTATTCGTATCTACGCAGCGAGCGACCACTGGGCTTCGAGAGTAGAGATTCTGGCGTGTTTGTCGATGACGACGGCAAGGGCTATCTACTGACCGAAGACGTATGACTGCCTCGTAGCACAGTAGGGACCTGTTTCTGACGAAGCCAGCGCCGCAACGGCCTACGCATCAACGCACTGTCTGATGATTATCTCAGCGTTTCCAGCAATGTCTACGTCTGGAAAGAAAAATACGAGTCTCCGGCCATGATCAAACACAAAGGCGTTTACTTCATGTTCGCCTCGCAGCTTACGGGGTGGAGCCCGAATGACAACTACTACAGCACGTCGACGTCTCTCTCGGGTCCATGGTCGTCGTGGCAAAAGTTCGCCGACTCTGGGTCCAACACGTACGCTTCTCAAACAAGCTTTGTACTGTCTGTGGGGGATGGGTACGTGTACATGGGGGACCGATGGCACAGTGAAAATCTGATGAGAAGCACATACGTATGGTTACCGGTTGAGATATCTGGAACGACGGCTAGCATGAAGAACGCTGTCAACTGGATCCTGGACCCCGGTACTGGAGCCAGCAGGGCCGGGCCCAAAGAAAACATGTACGAAGGCGAGACGGCAGAGCTTGCTAACGGAGCTATATCTCAAGCATGCTCCTCGTGCTCGGGCTCGAAGGCAATTGGGTACATTGGCGGCGTGCCCTCGGGGTCCGCCACGTTTTCCAAGGTGGAATCTTCAGCAACGACGCGCACGACTGTGAGAATCAAGCATCTCAACGGCGACAAGCAGCAAAGGTATGCAGCCATCAGTGTGAATGGGAAATCGCAGAGGGCGGCGTTCTTGCCAGACGGGGGAGGAGGCCCGGCAAGTTCAGTGGTGCATGTCAACGTAGAGCAGGGCGTCAACGAAGTCAAGGTTGGCGGGGTGGATGAGGGCTGGGGGCCGGACATTGACAGGGTGTTTGTTCCCGTGGAGTGAGGATGGGCTGATAGACTAGCAATGTATGGTGTTCAGTCCATCGACTTGCTCATGATGGCGTATTCGGCGGGGATGACCCTGTTCCTCGTGGTCCTGTCGTCGGGGCTGCACTCGTCCCTGGTGTAGCCCAGGCTGTGGTACATGCTCTTTGCGCGCGTGTTTGCGGTGAAGACGGTCAGCATCGTCTTGGGGATGTGACATGCGCGCGCCACGCTCTCGACGAACTGGACGAGGCGGGACCCGAGGCCCTGTCCTCGCAGGCGCTCGTGGAGATGGATCTCGTAGATGTAGAGGACAGGGCGGTCGTGGTGCGGGGGGTCGTCGTGGGTGAACATGAAGGAGGTGAAGCCGAGGATGGCGTCGGGGCCGCCCTGGGCCGGGCGCAGCAGCAGATACATCATGTCGGCGTCGAGCATCTCGTCGCGCTTCCTGCGCGGGTCCCAGCCCATGGCCGAAGCCGCGTAGTCGTGGCCCGACGTGGCGTGGACGAGGCCGAGGCAGGCGTCGAGCTCGCCCGGGCGGAGGTCGAGAGCGGAGGGGACCCAGTGGATGGCGACGGGGCAGGGTCGCTGGGGCGCCTCGTAGGCACTGAGGGCGGCGTCCTGGCGCAGCAGCGTCTGCACCGTCTGCATGCGCGCGAGGGCCTGGGGCGAGTGCATGGTGGTGAGGTGACGATTCCGCCGCCAGCCAGCCGCCCACCACCAACCGCCCACCGCCCACCGCCCACCGCCAACCTTGGGCACTGGGACGCGCCCTCGACACATCGCACCGCCATGCTGCGCGCCTACGCGACCGTCGCCTCCAAGCCGCCCTCCCGCCTGCGCGCACGAGGAAAAGCTCCCGTGGGCCTGGACCACGTACCTGTCCCACGACGCATCCGGCCCGGCGCCACGCCCGCTGACGGTCCTGCAGTTCATCCAGCGCCAGCGCGCCCTGGCCCTGTGGCGAGACATTGTCCGCAGCACCGCCAGCATCCCCGACGCAGGCGCACGACGAGACATGCGCCGCTTTGCACGCTCCGAGTTCGACCAACACCGCTCCGTCACTGACCTGGGCCACATTCGATATCTGATTTCAGTCCGCCGCCCCAGAACCCCCGCAGCGTGCCCTGGCCCTTTGCTAACGCCTGCCCAGCATGGAAAGACACAGTTCCAGACCATCAAGGCCACCCTCATCAACGCTGGCCTACTCTCCGAATAGCCTCTGTTCAGACACTGCTGCCCCGAATTCCCAACCCCGTCCTGGCCATGGATGCCCCGGTCGAGCAACAGTCCGTCTGCGTCGTCGGCGCTGGGCCCGCGGGTCTGGCGGCTGCACACATCTGCAGACAGCACGGCTTCGCAGTCACCGTCTACGAGGCCGCAGACCGTGTAGGCGGCATGTGGAGACATGACCGCGCGGAATTTGGCGACAAGTGCAGTCCGGAGATGCGCACCAACCTGAGCAGATACACTGTTGCCTTTTCTGATCTGGCTTGGACATCGGTACATGTAGATATCTCGAACCCTGCTGCCGATCCACTAGCTGTTCCGCCTGTCTTTCCCAAAGCGTGGCAGGTAGAATCCGTGCACAGCATGCTGTGAGACAGTTACTGACTTCGTACATGCATCTTTAGGCACGTGGGCCGCTATCTTGCGGCGTATTCAGAAACCCTTGGCTTAACCGACGACATACTCCTCGAGCACCGAGTTGTCAGCGCATCACTGCAAGAAGATCATACTTGGAGAGTGGTCAGTGCCGACGGCACCCGTCAGCTAACATGCCGTACCTTTGATCGACTCGTCGTCGCCAGCGGCTTCTTTAACAAGCCAGCCCACACCTTCAATCCCGTTCCCTCCCACCCTCTCTCAAACATCCAACACTCCTCACGATTTCGGACTCTCTCTGCCCTGACGGAAACCCCCGGCAAGATAGTCGTGATTGGAGGCGGCATCAGCGGCTCAGAGGCTGCTTCTCAGGCTGCTTCCCAGATCTCCAACGCAAAGCACTTGCCTGGTGGAGTGACACCCTCCCACGCCGACAGCAGGGTTTTCCACGTCATCAATCGTCCCTTCTACTGCCTGCCCCGCTACCTTCCACAAGACCCTCAGACCCACGACGGGCAATTCAAGCCAGCACCCAGATTCCTTCCCCTTGATCTGATTCTCTACAACCTGTCCCGTCGCGGCCATGGTGACATCTCTGCAGCTATCAGCACCGTTCCACCAGAAAAAGCAAAGAAAGGCCACGACTTCTTACGATCAAGTATAGGCTGCCATCACGCCGACGTCGGCTTCTCAGAGCTCGCGTACACGGCGACCCAGACACAACACCCTGGCTACACCGGTATAACCGACACGTATATGGAGTTTGTCAGAAGTGGCATCATTGTGCCAGTCCGGGGATGGGTTGAACACGTCGAGCAGGCAGCCAACGGTGATTGCCTAGAGATTAGTCTTGGCCAATATGAGCCCTGGTTCCATGGGCCAGGCGCAAAAGCTATGGTACTCCGCTTACTCGAGAGCCTAGGCGCATCGAAAAGGCTGACACTTTACAGGGCGAGAGCAGACTGAGTGATGTGGTCGGTATCATTGAAGCCACAGGCTACAAAGCCGACCTCGATTGGCTCGACGCCCGTGTCCAATCCCTTCTCGCTGACGGCAGCGACAACCCGAATCCGCGCATACCATATCTTCTGTCACGTGGTTCCGTCTTTTCGCAGCAAATACCTACAATTGGGTTCGTGGGTTTCTACGAAGGCCCTTACTGGGGCGTGATGGAAATGCAGGCTCGACTTCTGGCACAACGCTGGGCCAAACGAGAGCCTGAGCAGTCGGCGTCTCTCTCATCCGCCTTGTACACGTATGATGATACGAGGCATATGCAAAATGCCATGGGTCAGAGGTCCTTGCAAGTGCCGCAGTTCTGGATGGCCGACTACGTTGGACTAATGGAAGAGTTCGCACGAGAAACGGGCGTCTCACGTGACGACACCCTATTCGGTAGCCAATCGGGTCCCGCATTCCCATCGCGCTATCGACACAGAGATAGCAGTCTGCAAGCCAAGGCAGTAGTCAGCGAAGTTGCCGGAATACTCGAGGCATCCCGGGAGCATGCTCGGTTTGTTGCAGCGGCCGTGTTCACAGGCATGCAAGGTGTCTGGAAGATGACGCGCAAGATTGATTCACGTACCCAGACACCCGGTGGCACATTCGTGGGTACAGCTCACTTCCATCCGCGTCAATCTACCGATGCAGCGACCTACGCCTCCGAATACTTGTATATCGAACAAGGGACATTCACCATGGACGCTGGGCTGTCATTCCCTGCGACCCGTCGTTACGTCTATCGGTACAACGAAACAAGCGATGAGATCACCGCATGGTTTGTTGAAGACGACGAAAAAAGCGTCGGAAAGCTATTCAATACCTGGCGCTTCCACGCGCCTGATGACCAGGCTGGCGGCTGGATGGCTACGGGCTGCCATTGGTGCGATCCCGACACGTATCAGAATGACTGCGAATTCAAGTTTTGTGGTGCAAAGATCGATCGGTTCATGATCAGATACAAGGTGGACGGACCAAAGAAAGATTATCTGCATGAGAGCTGGTATCAGAGACCAAAGGTAGATGGTGGAGCAAACGAATGCGGATGAGGGCGTTGTAAAGACAGCGCAACGTTTGCAAAGGGCTATTCCATTGCGAATATATTGGGTAGGGTATCATATATAAATCGTCATATCGTACAGTTACACCTGGTCTTCAAGCCGGTCATGTGTTTAGTTGCTCAACACCTCCATCAGCGAGCGTACTGGGATGGGTAGGTGGCCCATCTCTCCCTATGCTCTCAAGGTCGGCCAGCAGCATCCTGAGATGATTCTCTCGGTTCTGGTTACTGCCCCAGGTGACCGCTTGCGAGTAGTACAGTATGTCCCACGCCTCGTCACCAATGTTTTGTAGGAACGTGGGCAACGATCGCGCTTTCTGGTACGAGCGCCAGAGTATTCGGCGGATGTCATCGTTTGCGCCGATATAGGCAAGCTCAATGGCTTTATTGAACGATTTCAGGGCGGGCGCAATGTTGAACGGTGGGGGGAGGTCGACGCGGAGGCGTTGGAGAGCGGCAACGTGCTCTGGGTCTTGGAGGGCAGCAGCCATACGCTCGCTGAGCGGCGCAGTGCGGCTGTCCGCGAGTTGGTAGGGGTCAGGCGCAGTTTCGTGGGCGATAGAAGTCAGATCGCCTTGCTGTTGCTTGTTCTCGGAAATGAGCTTTTGTATGTACATTAGCTTCTCCATCAGCTTCGGGTCTTTCATGATCTCGTCAACCTTGGCCTGGAGCTCAGCGGGAACATCTTCTTCGTCCTCCACAAGCTCTCCGGGCTGCGATGCTTTGGACTGGGCGAGCTTCTTCAGCTCTTCGGCCAATTCTTGGGGGTCCATTTCACGCTCGAACACACCCTCTTCATCTTGACCCGATGTGGAGTCTTCGCTGATCGCTGCGTCGAGTTCGGCTTCGAGCCCGGTGTCGCCACCCAACGACTTCATGACATCCCGCATCTGGTGCAGGAGCTTGTCCACGTCCTGCATGTCTTCGGGTGTCGCCATAGTCAGGTCCTCGTCTGGAGTCTCTGCTTGAGCAATGGCGTCTTCGGTCTCTCTCTGATAAGTCTGCCACTCGCGCTCCAATTCGGAGTCGGGGCGTTTACGCATAGCGGCGACCTTGTTCTGCATAGCTTCGTTGCCCTCAAGCTTGTGCATTGCCTTGTTCAGCATAGCCTGGAACACGGGATTGTCTATGTTTTCCACCTCAGGCATGTGGTCGATGCACGCTTGCAGGTCGGCCTTTGCGTCTCCGATGTCCGGGTCCTCGAGGACGTCTTGTAGTATTTCAAGTGTCGCCATCCGTAAGCCGGCGTTGAACTGCTTGCTCTCTGCCTCTGCCTTGGCAGCGCCCTGTTGTTTCAGTTGCTGGAGCTCCTCCCTCGACTTGATGCCTTTTTTGATGAGCTGGAGCTCATCCGTCAGTTCGGCGAAGTTTGGATTTGTCAGGAGGCTGTCGATGAGCCGCCGGTTCAAAGTTGCGTCGTCATGATCGGGGTTCTTCCGAGACTCTTCTATCATCAGGTACATGTCTCTGTCCTTCTTGCGGTCTTCGGGCGTGGCTATGCGCTCAATCAGGCGCTGCGGCGTGCCTTTGTCCAAGTCCTGCTCGTACCAGTTGATGACGGGCAGATCGTCGCGTTCGAGTTCGGCATCGGACAGCGGACGCATTGCCTGGTCCATTTTCGCGTCATCCTCGAAGATGGAGCGTGAGCCTCTGAGCCGGCCTAGGAGCGAGGGCTTGGATTTCGTCGTTGCATCGTGCTCCGACCCATCGGGATAGCTGGCTTTGGTGCGTTTTCCGCGTCGGAGCAGCACTGGTGGGGGGCGAGCAGAAGGACATGGTGTAGCGCGAGCTCCCAGGAAAGCGCTTGAGCGTGTACACGCGCGCGAGAGCATCGTGGCGAGCTTGGTTGAGGAGCGAGAGTGCCAAGTCGCTGTCTCAAACTTGTGACGTTGTCTTGGCACCTCCGAGAACTCCGCAATTGCTTGTCACGCCTTAATAAGAGAGCTACCCAGGCGCGCTGCGATCATCAAGGTGGACTATCCTAATGCGGTAAGGCGGCAGCTGCCCGCAGTCCTCATCATTGCGAAAGCTGTATCAATCCCTTGTCCCTGTCCTGCCACCAGAAACGTCTCTCTCCGGCACATGATGAAGACGATGAGGACCAAATGGTTGCGCCACAAACAGCTCCGCGTCAGTGGGTTAGCGTCACACGTACATAACATACACCCAACGTGTCGTTACTGAGTCAATCTAGCCAGCTAATCCAATGCAGTCACAAAAGACACACGGTGCATTTCTCGAGTTACCAGGCGAGATACGAAATATGATCTACGCCATGGCCATCTACCCAGAGCTTTCTTCGCTCGTGATCGCAAATTGCACTAAGCCGGAGCATCTCGCCGCATCTGTGCTGCATCTTTCTGCCTTCCGCGTCTGTCGCCAGATACGGGCCGAATGTCTCTCCTACATTTGCGCCAATTTCTCCCTCAAGTTCCTTGGCCTGCAGACTGCGGATCTCTTCTTTTGGTGTGCGGGACTAGCCATCTCCGAGATCAAGGCTTTTGTTCTTGTGCAGCCCTGCATTGCTCTGAAAAGCAAACAAAGCGGAGATATGT